AAAAAAAAAAAAAAAAAAAACCACAAACAAACAAAAACCTGGTAGATTTAATCTGCATCTGGCTCTTCCCCAACCCCACTAAGAGCAAAGGATAAGAAAAAGATAGGGGCAGAGGGAACAGGAGAGGTGACCCCAGCAGACAACAGAGTTTGGAAAGCAGATGGAGAAATTAGAAAAAGTGAGAAAGCAGAAACCCACCACCTGCCAAAGGGTCAGGGTGAGTCACAAGCGATGGGCAGAAGCCCTGTGAGGCTAAAGCGTCAGGAATGGAGGCAGCAGCTACTTCGGAAGATGGGACTGTAAGCCTAGGGAGAAGGATGCTAGGTCTGACAGCGGGCTACAGTGCACAGCCCCTGCACAGCTCCTCCTCTTTCCCATCCTCCCAGAAAGGTTCCAGTGCATGGGGGAGGGGACACTAGGCACGGAAGGCAGGGGTACTAATAAAGCCAAACAGGGTCCGGTGAAAATCCATCCCGAAATCTATGGGACTTTGGGACCCCTACTTTCCTCTGTCAACAGCTATATGGCATTGTTCTGTATTCTATACAGGCATGCCAGGTTGGAAACTGGGGGCTGCTTCTTCAAAGAAAGTCACTGGTCCCAGAAGTGCTCTATGGGTGCTTGTGGTTCAGAACACCCCAATAAAATGTCCAGTCTATGTACCCTGAAGCCCACTTGTCAAATTATTTCTATATGTGTGCATCGGGTTTCTTTTTTTTTTAATATTTATTTATTATGTATACAATATTTTGTCTCTGTGTATGCCTGCAGGCCAGAAGAGGGCACCAGACCCCATTACAGATGGTTGTGAGCCACCATGTGGTTGCTGGGAATTGAACTCAGGACCTTTGGAAGAGCAGGCAACGCTCTTAACCTCTGTGCATCGGGTTTCTAAACAGTGTCTAGTGACCTGCTCTGACACAATCAGGAAACCCTACAGAGTGAAGAGAGGGAACATACCAACTTTCATATGAGAAAGAGAGAAAAAAAAAAAAAACAAGAGAAGAGAGATAATGCAAGGACCAGAAAAAAATTTCAATATCTTTTTCGAAATAAGATATGAAATCTGTGAAACAACAGAAAGTGCTCTCAAAGGGAACAATGACAAAGATAGAGAGCACTTGGAAATTAAAATCACAAGGTAAAATCTAGAGTTCAATAGGAGGGCTGGAAGGCAAGCTGGGGACACTCCCTGGGATGCAGATGAGACCAAACTCTGAAGAAGGGAGAGGATGGAGGAGATGCTGAGGAGAGAATGACTGGGGGAGGATTTTTAAAAAGTACTTCCCAGACAGACTGTTTTTCCAGATAGGAGAGGTAGTCTCAGCAGCCAACAAGACAGTCAGTGGCAAGAACCACACACCAGGGCATACGATAAACAACAGTAATTTTAGGGTCGGGGTCACCACAACATGGGGAACTGTGCTAAAGGGTCACAGTGTTTGGAAAGTTGAGACCCACTGACCTAGAACTTACTTGAACTTCTGATCTTCCTACCTCGGCCTGCAGAGTGCTAGGATTATAGGCATGCCTGGTCCAAACATTACCCTTCTTTGCTCCTTCTATAGGAATTGCTGACACATAGTTAGAAAGAAAAACAACGAAATAGGAGGCCATACTCTGAAGAGGTGGAATATTCTCAAACATACAGCTGGGGACCCCAAACAGGCTGGGGAATCTGAAAGGTTGTCTGGGAACAGAAGGATGGAAATAGTATTTGAAGGAATTTTACACACTGATAGAGACTTCTGTAAGAGTTTGCATAAATACTGTAAGAATCTAGGTAGCCATAAAGGGGCAGTAATCATCTCCAGGGAGATAAAAAGTTATGCAAGCAAGTGTAATTATTTCACACTACTTGGCTCAACAATGAACAATGGATACTAACCATAAAGCAAATAATAAGAACAAGAATATTATTAGAACAAAAACAGTGTGAGGAACATGAGCAATGGTCAGGAATTTTTAAATCAACAAATAGCAATCTAATGATTTACTTTGAAATTTACATAGTAATGTGTGTGATTCAGGAAGCAAATGCCCAGCTCGGAAGAGATAGAGGCCCTGGGGAATTTGACTATCAAGGAGAAAGTAGAGACAACAGCTGTTTGGCTAAAGTTATCTCATGTTGAAGTTTGTAGACATTGCACAGTCTGCACAGCTTTGTAACCTGCATATTTGGAATGTGATGTGAAAGTAAAATCCACTCTTGCTTGACACCCATGAACATCTGGATAAGTCAGGTCCCTCAGCCATATGACTCTGGCTCAGGGTATCTAAAAACCTGCAGCTTGAGAGGGCAGACACTGGTTCCCCCTTCTCAAGCCTCCGTCCATCATCAGACACACTAGCGGGGAAGAAGCAAGTCAGCAAGACAGAGGGAAAGAGGGCTTGAAGAAGAAGGAAAAAGCTGCTCTGAGAAGGTATAGGAGCAGAAGACGGTGGGACTACACTGGAAAGAAAGAAGTGGAGTTGTCTGTCTGTCTGTCTGTCTGTCTGTCTTTTGTTTTTAAAGGATATCGGTGAGACTAAGGCCAGCTCTGCCCAGAGTTATGTGAGACACACACAGGTAATTTTAAATTTTCGCATCAAAAGAGACAGGTACAATTGATTTTAAGAACATGTAACAATATACTTAAAATGGTCTCTTAACAGGTATTCAGTATAAGAGTGTTTTGAGCTTTGTTGTCTTCTTTTCATACAGGTCTCCATGGGCGGCTGTGGTTCTGCCCTTCCAATGCCTTCTAGTCAGTGGAGTCTGTGGTGTGTGGCTTCCCTGTGGACAACACCACAGAGATCCAGGCTTTCCCAGATGGTCTTCCCTCCAATGGAATGGGGAGCCCTCTCCTTCCTACCCGTGAAACCCACACACCATAGCCTGGTGTTAAGGCTTCTCCTTCTAGTCTCCCTAAGTCCTATATAGTGTGGATGGATGTCATTGAATGCCCGGGTTTCTGCCTGGTTATGGGAGGAAATGAGGGAGAAACAGAGGGGCTAAGGGTCTGGGGCCAACTGAACTCAAACCTGCTTGAAATGGGCAGTGAGAGAGGAGGAAGGAGGTTCTGGATGAGCCGTGGGTTTAACAAGGGCAGAGCAGGGACAGATCAAGCCAGCGTCCAGGTCTTCCACCTCTGCCCCACTGGACTCTGTCTTGCTGCCAGGAGCAGCCGCTGCCCCTCCCATCCCACAGCCCCTCCTGTTCCTTGAAGGGGAGATTCACACTCTAGCTGGCCTACGTGGAAAGGAAGACAGATGTCCTTCTCCAGAGTGAGCAGCAGAGGAAGTGCCTGTCAAATAACACTAAATGCAAGTTTTGCCTGCAGAGGACTCTTCTCTTGTGGGAGCAGGCATTCCCAGGGAGTTCCTGGGCCTCATCACCTCTACAAAAGTGCATAGAAGCTGGGGACACCCTAACTAAGCCCTATGTCGTGTAGTCTTCATGAAAACAGCTGCTTGGTTTGGTTTCCAAAACCAACGGCGAAACTCAGGAGAATGTGGCGTCTTTTGCAAGCCAACAGCCAGAGATATCTGAACAACCCTGACATCTTCAGTTCCACCCCCCCCCCCCGCCCTTTAGGAGACAACCCACATTTTTTCCCATTAGAGTCATTCCATCTCATTAAAAAATAATTTCCAGATGTCCCTGATTATTCTATGCATTTATCATATGTCCCCAGGGTTAAAATGCCACCGACTGCAAGATTCATCATGGACTAAATAACATTTTCAGTGAGTAAGGAAATAAACAAAACCCACCATATTAAATAAACACATCAATTTTAAGACACAAATTGCTATCAGAAGGGGG